TCAGTTTCACGAATTTTTGGTATAAGCTACTCTGTAGCTGCAAAAATACTAGCAACTGCTTAAAGGCCTGAAGAGCGTTTTGTACCAGCACATGGTGTCAAAGCCTGACCGAACGCCTTTGTCCTGCGTTTCATATAATAAAAATGTGCCTTCCACTTTGCGATGCAGCCAGCTTCACTTTTCAGCTCTCGTTGTTCGCAGTGTTGTTTTTATTGTCACACTTTAGCTGGCACCCTAGTTTAGCTTGCACATGCATACTTTAGATGGAACCCAACTGCGCATTTTTCCAGGCATTAGCGGAGACTATCTGAGAATAAGAAACAGAGTGACTGACCACCTGGTTAATTGAAGTTGCTGGTACCTGGACCCCACCCATGCAGCCTATGCTTTAGTTAAGATAGCTTGAATTTAGCCTGAGTTTCCATATCACCTGTGGCATTAGAAAATAGAGCAATTTAGTTTAGGCTTGTTCTATGAAATATAGCTTCTGCGAAGGTTCCCCAGGATCACTCGGAACTAGCCCGGTCAGTGAAGCAGAGACGGAGTTGAAACTGCGGCGAGATGGTCCGCCAATGCTTCGTTGCAACGCATTTCGGATAATCAAGCGGTGGCATTTCTCTGCAAAAGTGAAACAAGTAATGCTACTCTGACGTGCCACCCTACAGATAAAGTAAGTAACACAGGAAGAAGGTGCCGAACGAAAATTGCTGCTTATGCTAGCAAAATTTCCCGGTTTAGCTGCATAGCTTCGAAACACTTCCCTGATTGAGCAGGATTATGTTGCCGTATTGAGCCCAAATATACGGGCACAATGTAAAGCTTAAAAAGTATTCAAAGTCTATTCACCGTGCACTAAGATATCCCAAGATATCCTGTGCGCTCGGCGACTCACCGCATCATCTGCATGCATTTGGGCGACTTTGAGACCAAAACGCTTGTGTGTGCAGAACCAGTATTCACCGGTGTGTGAGTGGAAAATTTAATAATCATTCACAGGGGGAACTGCTAGAGCAGCAATACTCTTCAGTAGCCTTCTTTGTTCTCCCTCACAAAGGTGACTCGGTAATTTCATCCGCTTGATGCAACCAGCAAAGATTATCAAATATTTTTCTAGGCTTTGGCAGTGTTGGGCTTTTTCAATCCACAGTGCATGCCTCTGCAGCATTGCCATGTGAAGGGTGGAGTCTTTTGCGGAAAATTCAGGTCCAAGCGCATTCAGGCAATGAGTTCGCAAGTCGCAGAGGAGAAAGCGAATGGCTGCTCGTCCCATGGAAAGAATGCTCTCCGAATTTGTCCGAGCGGCGACTATCTTTTCCTGAAGACGCCATTAAAATTTTTCAGATTGCAGCGGCAAATTGAAACATCACCCACTTCTACGCTCAGAGCTTCTTTCACGCATAAATCTGCATCTAAAGCAGTTGACATGTATAGTCCTATCTGTGTGCTTACGTCTTCTCGTTGTGCTGTAATGGTTGTGCACTTCGAGTCCTCCTCGAGAGGAATGCCATTTGAAGCATGGTTGCCGACATCAACCTGGTTGACAGGGAACATTACAGCAGCACCTTTCATGAGAGTTGCCCAAAATGCCTAGCTGAGAATTAGCTGGAGTCATTGCATACATGGAAAATGGCGCGGTAGGCACAAACGCTTACGCATCCTGGCAGTAGAATTGGCAGTGCTCCAACACCCGAGCTCGATGAAAATTCGTTTGAATAACCTGCCTGCTGAAGTGTCTCAAGTACATAAGTATTCCAGAGGTCTGGTGTGTCTGAATCTCGCGTTAGGCGATAATTAAGGCTTCTCGCCTCCGTTATAGTGTTACTCATATCATGTGCTGGTTCACGCGCCTCGAAGCTTTCCTTTCTCAGTTTGTCAGTGGCAAATGCGCTACCAGATGCTTGTGAGCGAGCTCTTTCCATCCTTTTGCGCGCATTCACAGCCAGAAGGCGAGCACCAAGGAATCCAAAGTGCCGGATTGGAAAATATTCAGCTCGCCGCTTTCCAGACTGCAGAAACAGCACTTGAAATACACGGGTTTATTCCTAGCAGAAAGAGTGATTTATTAGAGTTTCGGCACAAAACAATCCGTGTCTTTCTTTTTATCTCATGGAAACATTCATTTTCTAACTGTACCTGGACGTCAGTAAACGTGCACGCCCATCGGAGCTGCTTTTTGTCGAACCAGATGCCTGGTACTCTTGTCAGTCTAGATGCGTGCCGTATAAGCACTCGTGAAGGCTGCACAAATGTAGCGAAGTAAAACAAGTGTAGACAAATTTGTCGCTGGCAAGATTTTACAAATAGTCTAGGAATGATTATTGGAAGGAGGCCCATGCGAAAGTCTAACCATTTAGAGGCGCTAGCGAGCTTAAAACTATGAACTGTTCAGGGCCAAAAGCAAAAGTTGGAAATGAAGTCGCTCGTCAACCTCACTGCCTTTGAAAGTCGTCTATCTCTTTCCTCGTCGTATCCACCGTCCGTGATTGCGCCGAGCGTATTAGGTTGATCACTCTCAAAAGAAGTCTCCGAAGCACCAACGACAGAGGTGGGTTTACTTCTGTCTGCAAGGAGCGCAACCCTGGTTCTAAATACATTGGCTTCACAAATGATGGCGTCAATTTGGGAAAAGCTGTTTGGCCTGCTGTTCGGCCAAAGAAGCCTAGTGTGCACGACGACTCACAGTCGCACTGTTCCGGAAAACTTGAAGGACTGCTTTTATTTTGTTCTGCCTTTTCCAGCTGCAAAGCACCAGGAGCGTTGGGGTCCTGTGCTAATAAAGACGCAGCAGTACTTCTTGGTGATTTCAACTCAGATTGGGGAACTGAAACTGGCTGGGACAACACTTGAAGTGCAGCATCTTCAAAGGCGGCGCTTTCTTTGCACCTAGAGCCTCTTGGAATGTGGTTTGTCAGACGAGTATGTATTGCAAGCAATCGTGCTCGGTCGAAACCGTATCTTGCTGAAGTAACAGAATTAGCACACATTCTTTTAACAAAGGAAACGCATTTCTTCGCTGAGCACAGCAGCAAGTGACAGTTCTGAAGCTAATCAGCATGCAGAACATTCGCGCGCAGCCAAGACTTACCGATGGGAAAATACTTGGCTTTTCGGTGTCCTGAGATGTCGTACCAGGTTGCCTTCCACCTCAGTGAATGCTTATCAAAGTGAATGCCTGGTGTGTGATGCATTTGATGAACCTGCTGCAGACGAAGACGTTCGTATCTTTCGGCTCGTCCCCAAAGAAAAACGCCTTCTTCAGCACTCGGTTTTGAGAAGCTAAGAAGGCGTGCAGCCATTGCTGCACGATTGTCCTCAACAGGCAGTATTGCCGACTGTTTCTTCTGGCTGACGCTGCCAGCATGCATAGGCCCACACAAGGAGTGAGAACTATGTAGCTCCGGTGAAAGGAGAACCGTTGGAGCTGTTGCTCTAGAGGAGCCTAGCTCTTCCGGTTGCAGGGTTTGCTTAGCCTGCCAGTTAGAAGCTCCCTGCTGAAAAATAATAGTCACTCGAAGAAAGAATGGGTGTAAAATACTGGGCAGGAAATGGGAAACAGATGCAGATCTAGGGAAACCGGATGCGCAAGATCACAGCAAAGCAACATTCAGCAGATGCCGACGAATTAGTGAAATCTTTTGACAGAACGGCTTTGGCAAATGTTTTTTTCCTTTTACTGTGAGGAACGTGAGTAGCAAAAGTACAGTAAAAAGGAAAGCTTAAAATAAGAGAATAGCAATGAACTGTCTAGAGCTACTAACATACAGGGAAGCAGCAAAAGAGAAAATAATGAAAAGCTAAGATGCAAGGGCGCTACAATTTCGCAAAAGCGGCTTACTGCGTGTGTATAAGGCTCTAGAGAGCTTTGGCGAACAGGATCATACTTTTCTTGAGCAGATGATGTCTCAGACATAGTTGAAGAATAACCTCTGAAACGGACGCTACTTTCGTTGGTCAAGGCCTTGGTATTACTGGCAGTCGATGGTCTGGAAACACTGGCGTTGGTTTCATCCGCGCTGCTCCCAAATCCGCACATTTCTAGGCCATCGGAACAACAAGATGCTTGAGACTCCTCCGTGCTCCTATCAGAATTGTGTGCAGGCTGGGGGATGAATGGTGAAGGCGGCGCTAGCACTCCGGAAGCCTGCTCTCTAGACTTCTCCGTACTGTTCGAATAGCAAATATCTGAAGATATTAAGGGCGTCGCCATCATTGCCTGCCTACTTTTGTTGTCAGGGGCTGCACTACTAGGACCAGACACTTTATAGTTGTCTACGTCAGGAAATGTCGTGAAGGGCCACTGCGCCGGACTTGGCTGCAAAACCGGTGTATTGGAGAGTATGCCCTGAGGTTTTCTGATAGGACTACTGGGCCCTGATGTATGACCGCGACCTATTTGGCCACCTTGTTCTATCTTATTAGTTTCAGTAGGGTGCAGACCTTGCTGCGAGGGCGATGGGAGTGCTCTAATACTACAGTTTTGTGGCTGAACGCTGCTTGGACAATGATTGGTGTCCGGCGATCTTGTTCCATTCCCAGCTGCCACCCTTTGGCTCCTCCCTGTCAGTAAGAGACCTGGCGTAGCTAGTGGCTTCTCTGGACAAGACAGAGGGCACATTTCCGTGCTACTCTGCCACGTCTGGCCGCACAGATTAGTAGGGCCAGTAAAAGCAGGTTGCAGCTGGAGAGACATTGCCATAGGTCTCTCAGAAGCAAGCGGCACCACATTTGTACCTCCAAGGGGGCCAATAGCCCCTGCCACTACTGCTCGGTCGCTGCCTTGATCGTCACTCCTCGTAGAGCTAGGCGGCGGCTCTGTAGCTTGGACTGGATTAGTTAGAAGTGGCGAGGAAGCCTCCAGAGACGTGGTTTTGGTGGACTTGAAGCTTACAGCCATGTCGTATCCCTCACGCATCCCGAAAAGTTTAACTGGGAAATACTTTGCCGCTCGACGCCCATTGTGAGCCCATCCAACAGACCAGCGAAGCTGCGCAACCATGTGTTCAATGCCATGCAGTACACAAGATCAAGATGAAGACTGAGTGACCATAAATTTCCCTTAAATTTACCAGCAATTTGTAAGTCACAGCAGGCCGTAAGTAATATCTCTGTACCTGGTGCTTGTCAAAATATATGCCAGATATTTTAGGGTATGTAGCAGCTCGCCGGATGAGAGCATCTACTATCCGGGTCCTCTCTCTCTTATACTCTTCTTTAGGGGCACCTCCGCGAAGCTTTTCCAAATGTTCTAGCCAAGATCGCCCATCATTGGCATCATCCAGATATTCCATCGGTGGCATAATGGTTCCACAACGCATAGAATTTCCACGATGCACCAAAGTGGAGCTGGTGCCAATAAGACTACGGCTTTCGCAAATATTTTGTGAGCTCGTGGATGTGCGGCACATTATTTGCTCTCTAAACGATTCCGTAACACTCCACTGTATCTGTAGTCCACCAGGATATGCCCCTTCGCAGGAGGGGCTCCACGTTGATGGCGCCTCTGGCGCTGTTTTGCAGCTAGTGTATGGCCAAAATGGTGGACACGGGCTTCCTCTGTCGAGGCCCTCGCCATCTTGCCTAGTGCTGGCTTGGTTTACGGCTTTTTGGCATTTTGGAGGAGGAAGTACTCCCTTGTCGAAAACCGTTTCCTGTGAAAAATCTGATGAAATACTTTTGAGCCAATTGTTGCTGCTGGAGTCTGTGGCATCGCCAGCGGTAGATACAGAAGAATCGCTTGAGCAATCTTCAACAGAAGGCTCAGCTATGGCGGGCAGCAAAAGTTTTCGCTCTGGATAAGGCATACCCCGTGGAAATGACGGCCAGGGAGGCCCCTCGGGTTTAGACGAGGATGCGGTGTCACCGGAACATTTTTGCTTTTGTTCGTCGTGGCATCTTGAGGCTGTTGCTGGGTGCATTAGCCACGGAACAGCACCCAAAGGTGAGGCATTATCAGAGTGCGTGCAGGGAGCCGGGAGAGGAAAGATTGTGTTTGCTGCGGGAGACTGCTCCGGACTGCTGAACGGGATTATATTCATATCACAGCTTACAGAAGAAGATAATATATTACTTAGTTTGGACGTGTCCTCGGGCAGACTGCATCGAGGAAATCTTGCGTCTGCCTCGACGCTTGCTGAAGTTGCTCCATACCGAGAAGATGCTAAGAAGCGATTGGACTTATCTTTACATGCATCGCCAAAGGCTACCTCAAATGCCATTGTTTTTCTACGTCTAATGCAAGTATTTGAAAAGTTGACGCTGATGAGACAGCACCATGTAAATATCAGCACTTCAATCCTGCCCGTGGGATATCAGCAAACTGATGCGCGAGTACCGAAAGAAAATAGCAGCACTTATTTACCGCTAGTAACTAGTATTGGCTGTTTGGCAACATCTGCACACGGAAAACTGTGCTAGGAAGCAGCCTCACACTCTGTCACACAACTACCACTAGGTGAACAACGGCAGCTGCCCACGGACGGGGGCTCTAAAGACGCTTTTCAGGAAAAACTCGACGCTCGTAGTGGACTAAACGTAAATAAGTCACTTTGAATGCACAAAAAGACACCAAATTCAACTGGGCAGTGACAAAATGTGAACTACACCAATGAGCTTCCATGGTGGCCCGCACACCCCCTACCAGCCCACGAGCTTTAAGGAAGCCGAGGTCCACTGTGGTGTTAGCGCGCTTAGTCATCCTACTCTGTATTTCCAAATATATTTTTGTCTTGAACGTTAAGAATATTTACGAAAGGAAACATGCTGAGAGCATCCACGGAATGTACGCTCCCTTCACAAGCACCCAGGATCCAGCCCCCATGCACTAGCCGAGAGCGGACGTACACGTGAAGCCCCATGCAGTGTAGAGCTTTCTCGATGTACAAAGCATATTCGGCTTGGCAACTACATCAACGCCACATAGTGATTTTGCGGCTGCCATGCTGCGTCGTCACTACATGTGGCAATACTGCATCATTCTACTGTAGCCACTACATTGTAATTGGACTCTATACAGGCTTGGAAACTAGCCTTAAACAAAGTTTGACGAAGTTTTCACATATTTACAGGCACAGTATTCGCATTTATGCAGGAGTTAAACGTCATGCTGCCAGATTATGTATCCATTGTTGAGATGATTTCAACGCCTACGGGTGCGAGAGGTAAATAAAATCTGTCGGAAAATGCGAGTAGTAGAAGAAGCCCCACTAGAAATTTTCTTGTGATACCTGTAGGAACAGTTAATACTGCTGTTTAAGAGAGTTTCAGAACTGGACGGAAAGAGCGCAGACACACGATAACGCAGAGCTGCAGAGACTTTGGACTGGAGCAAGCTGCTCACGCGCATCATTTAGTTTCTTCCAATCGTACCTTTTACCCACTTGAAATAACCAATCTCTTGCTTTTGCTAAATTCACCGGTTAAGCCTGAAGGAAAGCTGCTTCTTTTTGAAAACTGCCACACGCGTCCAAACGCATAAGGAGCCCACCATCAAACTTTGCAAGCTCGAAGCGTTTCATTTTCCTTCTATTTCTGGCCACTCCAGCGTAGCCTCTAATTTACACATATGTTTTCCCTCCTGGGAGATAGAGAGGCCACTTGTGTGGAGAATAAAAGTAGTTGCAGGTGTGTTCTAGCGGGAGACGCTGTTTAAAAAAGAATAAGTTCTTACTTCCTGTGAGAGGGCGTCTTGGAACGACACGTGTTTTTTCTTCTTCAAGAAATTCGATTTGAGATCAGAGCTCAGAACGCCGTTGACGGAGTTCAGGACGAGTTTCATACTAAAGGGCCTACACGAAGAAAACTACTGTGTTTTACACCTGGACGCTACGCCGTAGGCAGAAGCTACCCATTTTCCTCCATTGATGAGCGCAAACAGAAGAGAAAACAAAGGAATAAAAACTCCAAGTGGATACTCTGCATAAACAATTGCTTCAGGCAGCAGTTGGTTTCACAAGATTGAGGACGAATTCAACACATAATAAGGTGGGGAAGTAACCGCCTATAAAGCGCTCAATAAATCACAACGTGAGAATAAATATTTTGGACTACTTGAAACGGTAGAACAGATTTTCGGCTGCTCTTAGCGTGAAATTGCAGCTTTATTTTTCGGAAGTCCCACTAAGCTGCATCTATCAGAGTAGCGAGAAAATTCTGTTGAACTGGCAAGCTCAAAAAGTAAAAGGCAAGGTCGAAATGATGACTTTGGAAACAGAGAGGTCATTGACCTGAATAGAAAGTAACTTCCAAATGATAGATTAAGGAACTAAGACATTTATAACCTGAAGGAGCAGAAAAAGGTTCCTGGCAAGTTCACAGAAGACCCTCTCTAGAGAACATGTGAAAGATTGCCATTAAAGATCCAGTTGGAAGTACCTTTCGCAGAGGTTCTAGCCCTCTGGACGAAAAGATCGCAAACAATCAGCTGTCCACGGCATCCAACAGGATCCCTTCACTGATTCCCGTCTTTCAAATGAAAGAAAGGGAAAACTACTGTTTCCCAGTCCATTCAGCGGAGATATATTCTGATATTTAGTCAGGTGTTTTGAAAGCTGGTGCAGGCTTCCAAGTTTCCGTGATTTTTTAAACAACATGAGTAAAGTAATATTTATGAGTTCCCTGATTTTCTGATGCTGGCCTGGGACGAAGTGTAAAAAATTGCACAAAAGTACAGCCTATTCAACGCTTCTCCCCTCTCCGTTCTACATTTTGCACATTCCTACATCATTTCTAAAGATCGCTTCTCCAACACAACAAAATGCATTCTGAAAGAAACAATCAGCGAGTTCTTCAGGTCCATAGCTGCCATACAATACTTTCGAGAGATAACATCTGCTCTAGGATGAGGACCTTCTGAGAACCGGAAACGCCATTGTGGAGTTAGAACTCCGCGTTAATCTGTAGTGCTGAGGGTGACCACAGCGTCAGCGCTGGGATACAAGTGAAGCCTGGAGAGCTTTGAATGATCACAGATGGGATATTCCTTCTTAAGACATGGTCCACATCTACAGAATTTTTGGAGCCTCATGAATTTGACCCTTCACGCATTGAATTCCCACAATAGCGAAAAGCCGAAACACCCAAAACACCTAAAGGTTGACTCGATTTTCACGCATCGTAAAAGTTGCCTAATGGCTAGTTCGCTAAAGCATACGAAGATGCATACAAGTAGCCCGCATTAATCCAGATTTTCGACGCCTACGTTTGACGCATCGATACCGAAAAGAGTTTGCATGTTACGCCTAAACTCTTTAGTATTATGAGCATCACCTATGAAAGTTTGCTGTCATTGGATATAGTGTTGCACTTTGTTAGCCTTCCTCCTGGATATTGCGCTGTTGCTGTGGTGCGCAGCGCTAAAATGGCACGGAAGAAGAACATTCAAAGGATGTAGGATACAGTATTGCAAAGGCTAAGCATAGTTAGAAGCAACTCAGTTACATAATCGCGGCTCTTCCTGCAGCCCAGGCTCGGAAAGCTAATTAAATATGGTACTAACAATCTTAATCGTGATAAAAATGATACACTATAGAAAAAAACGGGAAAACAAAGAACGAAGAAAGGCACAACGACCCCAAATGCGTCTGAACAAAACAGAAAGTTAGCTGGGGTAAACAGCAGTGAATGCGCGCGCAATTCACTTAATAGGGGAGACGAAGACTATGAGCATGTATCCATAAACGAAAGCGGCTCAGTTAGTCAGAAAGGAGTCACCAGTGGCGCGGGCAGGAGCAGCTGCAAGAGCTGCAACAGGAGCGGATTCAGACCCCACTGCCGTAACAGCTGCAGCAGAAGAGGCAGGTGCAACATGAATAGCTGCAGCGAATGCAACAGTAACAAGAGAAGCTCTAAGCGGAACAAACATGATGAGGTTCTGGCGGGGATAACACTTGGGCACGTGAAAGGAATAGAAAGCAGACGAACTTAATAAAGCTGGAAATGACAACAGGAAAAAAGACAAAAGAAGAACAAGCAGTGGCTTGCCTTCAAGACACAAAGTAATGGGGGGTCAAGGGATGGTAGCTGCTGGAGTCTAGAATGGAGAGCGAAAATGGGTTTGTCATGTACTAGCAAACCGAAATGAACGGCCCAAGGTGGACGTTAGCAAGAGAATTTGTCAAAGGGTAGGGCTCTGAAGCGTGCCTGTGACATACGCTCGGTTGTGAAGCTTTCTTATTAGCGCAAGAATCAGCAGCAGCTGTTGCTGCTTATGCGGACAGTGATCATCCTGATGCAGCAGGTGCTAAGGCTGTTGCTCTTGCTTTTAGTGTTTCTGGAAGCGGGATCACCTCGTTTCCTAGCCTCATGCATATCACCGTTTACAGATGATTGGTGCGGTATACACATAGCAGTGCGCTAAAAGCAACTATTAAAATGGGGTAAGTGGTCAGTAATAGTAGAAGTGACAATATGGCCAAGGGGGAGGTATACCAACGGAAGTAACCTCAGAGGTTGCCTCGTAGCGTCTAACGCCTTTTGTTACGTGGTAACGAAAGAAGAAAAAGTTACTTCGTCTAGGCACACTTAGCTAAAGAGGAAACAAAAGTCACGAGCAGAGATGAAATGACAACAAAGGGGATAGCGTCAACGGTCTGCTATTGTTGAGTATACAAAACTGGGGTTTCAACGCCCTCAGCTAATGTTTGCTGTCGAATCTATATATATATATATATAAATAAGTATATAAGGGACTTTTTGACCTTTAGGTAATCCGCCTTCAAGTAATCCTTTGTTTACTGATTTCCGTATACTATTCCAGTGGAGGCGGACACTATTTGTATGAGGCGCTACAGGCGCTTCGCCAAACTTTTGCAGTCTCTTACTGACAAAGAGTTGATTTAACTGACTTCATTAGCCGGCTTTCTTAGCGCAGCAGGAATGCTACACCTTCAAGTGCTCAGAATGACTCTGAATGTGTGGCTTACCACGGAAACGCCATTGCCGTTCTCACGCACATAGATTTAGTTCAGTGTCCATTTGTCCAAATAATTGAGAGCAGCAGATATAGTTTACCTTTCATGTCTGTCGGCGACCTACAGTAGGTTACACTACAACGCTAGGGTCCTGCCTGAAGGGTAGACATTGTACCTATGGTATGGGCTAGCAGAATGCTTGTGTATGCCGTTGGTTCTAGTACAGTCGTACTGAGGCGTCCGCTCTCTTCACATATTTCGACGCATGCTACGAGATGACCTTTAGGTAATCCAGTGGTGTGCGCTTTATGGAATGTATTTCAGTCTCTTCGCACCTAATAAGACTTGCTGAATCAGCACATCCGCAGCTTGGCTATGGAGGGTGCTGGACATTTAGTCGGCCGTTCGTTTCCGCCATTGCTACCGCAGCTACCTTCACGTATCACGCTGATTGATATATATATATATATACACAAAAGTAAGGACACAAGTCGGAGCACGTACTATTGGGATGGTTGGTTATATTTTCTCTTAAATATGGTGATGCTTGACTTGGCTTGGTTGTTCTTCCTTGGACGTCATTCCAGCCAAGTTCATGCTAAGGCTCTGTGAAGGACTTATTTCTGGCAGCTGCTGCGGATGTATGCGGATGTAAGAAACTGCAGTAGAGTGCCTTTCGTTTCTGCTGCTCACTCAACAAATGCGTGTTAAAGCACAATGCAGCACATCCAAGATGGTCTTTGAAGTTACGATATTGTGGCATCTGTTTACTCAGATGGCCCTGAAGTGAGGCGATAAGCAATCAGTTGCAAGGCTACAGTTTATGTGGGGAAAGCAACGAGTATTTCATAGTAGAGAAGCTTTGCACCGAGAAAAATGGCTTGTCAGTTACCGGTCACCCTGAATTGAAGGTTGCTGGGTGGCCTCTTGATATAAAGTTACTGTGCTAATGCATTTCTTATACTTATCATTGATTGCATAGAATGTGAGGGTAACAAGTGTGTACCCTGTTGGTTGATCTCAACAAAGTCCTTAGGAATACGCCTTCTGGGGTCAAAACATTCTTGATGGAGCATTCCAGTACTCTGCCATTTCCAATGTACTTCAGGATGATTATAAAATCAATAGTCTGTTTATATTATCGCCATGATTACAAAAGCAGTAGTTTGCTCCTGTTTTTGCCTAATGTTCATCTACGGCCGAAGCCTTTTGTAATGCACCGTACCGATCCCGTCCTATTCAACGCGACGACAGCAAAATCCAGCTAAATTCGGTTGTGTCATCCTTCAACCCATGAACTATTTCTAGTCTGTTTTCATTTAGGCTCTACAATACAGTTTTGCTTCCTCGTTCGGGGTTGTGTGGGCATGCGGTGCACTGCACTGTCGATTGTGGTGAGTGGTCGCTAGCTATGAGCAGCCGTGGTGTCTATGACCCTGTTGGTATCATTTGCCCAGGAAAAGTCAATGTAAGCAGGCTGTTCTCACAAAAATAAGGTGTTTTGTATCTGACGTTGGCTAGGCTGGTAGAAAAGCCAATCTTTGTCCTAGTCGTGGCCGACCTGTGTTCCGCGCTCGGCAGCGGCCACGAAGACAGCTGATGAAACACCTACTCGCCAAGCAGCTCGGTGTAAGAACGATGGCGGCGAGTTGAATTATTGATCATTAGACGAAAAGACTTCTACCCAGAAACAACAGTTATAGCTTACTGGGGTGTTACACGGCTGCACGTGAGGTCCATTTTCTCTCTTCAATACGAGCGCATCTTCATGGTGTTCTGCTGGTGCGGCGCCACCGCAAAGCATCGGAATTTTCACTCTCCACCATTCGTAACTCATTTTGCCTGTACGGAGGCCACTGCATTTTCCATAACTCAGGCTGCAAGCCTCTCGTCCGCCTTCCCGTGGAAGTTCGTGCTCTCGGTAGCGGTAGCAGCGACATCTCGAACAGTGATTCTTCCAACTGTTTTCATGTATCACTACAAGCTTCTCACGGACTTTTAACTTTTCTCTTCCTACTCCATTGTAGTGGTCTCTACCATGACGAGCAGGCCTACGATGGTGGCTACTCAGAATCGGTGCATCGATTCACCAATATGGGGACGCACATACTCACCTGCAGGCTTTCCTGTAAGTGACCAAAGCGATACAAGGTCTTCAGGATCAGCATCCACCTCCGACAGATGTATTCGGCTCAGAGCAGGCCATTCAATGCCGTGTGGGTTGCCCTGGTACGAGTTCAAGCAAGAGCCACCACCTCACAACACACCCCATCCCCCGAGCCCAGATGCAGTGACACCGTCTTACGTCCTTCAGGAAGGCGCTCCACGGGTTTGGAGGGGTGCAGGGGCTCCGTTGTCTCAAGGGGGAGGAGTTCGCTGTGCATACGACTCTTACATGTCCTCCCGATCCAGTGTTGTCTCATTGGTCACTCCCAAAGATGTCAGGAGGGCATGCCGTACGCACATAATCAAGCAGATATCTTTACCTCAAAGACCACCAGTTTTTCCCCACAGTTACAATTTCAGTGGTGGCTCGTGCGCCCTGGAGACAACAGGGGTTGATAGTGGCACTGTTCCTCCAGTCCGGCGTATTGAGCCCCCTGTGTTATTCAGCTCCTTTTTTGACAGAATGCAGCTTGATCATATTGTAGCTGCAAAGGAGAAGATATTGAAAAGGGTTAAGAGCCGAAATGCCGAGGGGGCAATTAGCTTTGACCCCTCCTCCGACAGCAGCATCTCTGAAAACTGCCGCGCCTCCGTCAACCCAGCATTACAGCTTATGGGTGCAGTGGATCTTCGCAGCTTGTATAACCGTTATCAGAAAAGCGAGGGATGCCGAGCCTCGACGAGCGACAGAGAAACATCAGCTTCTCAATGCACAGCTGAGCCATCGCCATCGGCGTCCGATTCTGAGGTTGAGACCTTTGTGCCACAGGAGAAAGTCTTTCGAACTGAGGCAGCTGCAAAGCTGGCTGCATCTCCAGCAGCAAGTAAGATGTCTTCCCATGCTGCTGCTACTGTCGGAATGCGTGTTATGACTGTGTGGCCCAAACAGGCCGACCAGCAGCGCCCCGGCTGTCGTGAAATGGAGCCGAACAGCCCAGCACAGCCACGGCAGTCAAGGTCTTCGAGCCGTCGCGTTTGTCGAATAACATATAGGCGTCGGGACGACGCAACAAGCCCACCCCCTGATCTGCCCCGTCACGCACTTAGCAAGGTTGCCGCAGAGGGGTCGTATACTCACATGATTCCGGTTTCGGGGAATGGAAATATGAAGGGACTCATTTCCTGCACCCCATTTGCATGGGCGGCCAAAACCCGCCATCCGGACCACGCATCCGCTCGTGTTGTTGAGTCAATGGGCTATCGGTATTTTGTGTTCAATCTCCCTGAAGAAGAGATGATCAACAGCGTTGATTTCGCGCTGACGTCGTGCATTAGCCAGGGGAGCTTTGGGACGGTGTACAAGGCCCTCTGGAAGGGTGAGGTAGTGGCTATTAAGCAAGCACATGGCAAAATGACACTGGAAGCAATGAGATCGGTTGCACGAGAGATCAACTCCTACCGCATGATTCAACACCCTTACATTGTTCGGTATTTTGGAGTTTGTATCGATCAGAATTTTGTAGGTCTGGTTACTGAATATTTAGATGGTGGGAACATATTTGATATTTTGTACGAGAATAAAGCGAATATTCCTGCCGGTATTCGACTAAAAATGTGTAGGCAGCTCATAGAAGCAGTGCATTTTTTGCACACGGAGAAGCGCCTTGTCCACAGAGATCTTAAGACAGCTAACCTTGTCGTCGACCAAGATGTAAGCAGGATTCGCACCAAGCGCTCAATTTCTTCGTAGCCTCCTTTTCATCTTTTACCAACACAACTCGCCAGAATTCATAACTTGTTGCCATGAATATTCGCTGGTTTTTGTTTCACTTGGGTGCTATTGGTTGGCTATTCTTCCAGGATGGATGGTGAGCACAGCTCGGTGACTGAATTTCGCCCTTGGTTTCTCTGTGGTGTTCAACTTATGTGTGCAGTACAACATTCGGCTTTGCGACTTTGGCAAGACACGGTCATTAGAGCAGCACGGAAAGCTTAAATTGGAGGACAACGGAGGGTCTCCCCGCTATATGGCTCCTGAATGCTTCGTGGAAGGCAACTACGTGGATGAGAAGCTTGATATTTGGGGGCTTGCATGCTGCCTAATTGAAATACTGGGGGGTCCGATACCCTACGAAGACATACACTCTAACGAGGGTAAGTGAAATTCATTCCAGCAAATGTATGCAGCTTTGCAACCAGACCTTGCAGCAGCCACGACGATTAGCAATACTGATTCCTGTGGATGCGTAGGAGTAATACACGCGCTCTTGTACAATCGTCGCAAACCTACCGTTCCTGCCTGGTTTCATCCAAGCGTTCGCACAACGCTGGACAGTTGCTTCACATGGAATCCCTGGGAGCGCCCAGATACGCAACACCTCAAGAATGTGTTCGACAAGTTGACACCTAGCGAACTCAATAAGTATGGCATGAACCTTAAAAGATCATTTTTTTAAAGATCAATTCCTGCAGATGAGCGCTATAACGCGCCGTTTGGCTTTAGTAGTATCCCATGAGAGTCAGCTACTTGGGCTGTTCCAACAACTCAGAGCTCTCTCAAATTTTCTCTCTCCAAGGTGAACATACTTTCACGGTGAAAATGACCTAATAAAGTAGTCGTTGAGGAAACAATGCGAACTTAGAAAGATACCTGAGGGTACCAGAGGCTCTCCTAGCTACAAATGGAGCGGCATACACCCAATCCATGACTGACCCTGTTACGCACCACCGAAGAATCGCCTATGTCTGCATTAACTAATAGGCCGACCAGACGGTGCGGTAGGCCTACCCCACTACTGATGATCTCCCAGAACTTCTGAAAAACATCCATTTAATGCCCCTGCAAGCCTCGCTGCTTCTGCCCATAGAACAGCGGACACTCCGCCCCTTCTTAATCTTTCTGCTCCATCAATCTCAAGTAGTTCCATTGAACTGCTTGTCGCAGACTTCCGCGCACCTGCTCTGCCTCACAACTTGCCGTCCTCCCATAAAATACACTGCGTAAGCCTACAGTAACCTGTTGCTTTGCAACCTAGTCTCGTGCTCGACAAACACTACCGAACACTGAGCAGAGCTCAGTCTCATCTACATAAACCTACAGTAACCTGTTGCTTTGCAACCCAGTCTCGTCCTCAACAAGCACTCACTATCGAACAATGGGCACCACCCATGTCAACCGACTGCAAAGTCCCTACATCCTGCCTACTACACTACTATCACACCTATTACTGCACAGTGAAACGAGCATGCTATCCCGATCCATCAGGTGCGATGCGTAAGCCCTCATAAGTAAGGTTTGAAGGAACAAGGGGGTCCAGCACGCTGAGCAGTAACGGCCCCTCTTGCTGTTCCCCTGTGCCTCGCTGCGTCACGCGGAGCACATTTCTCTGGGTTCACAATGCACGGACTACACTGCAATACCGCCAAGTGAGGGGCAAACATAGCATTCCCTAGCCTCATCTTCCCACCAGGCGGGCAGCTACTTGCTTAGCCTGAAACGCATTTTCATGACTGATGTCGGGAGCAACAGCTAGCTGCGCCTGCCCCCCACTCGTCGCAGATGCTTTTGTCCAGCTATTCCACAGAATTTGCGCTCGGTCGAACCCCTTGCCGCTCGATGCAGGAGCTCAGCGACAGGAAGCACACAATAACGCCTACTTCACGTTGCGGCAAAGCGTATTATCAATCGAGAGGCCGTTTCGCAAGTCATGAACTACTCTGCTGCACACTTAGAAGCACTTGCGGTGAACGATGCTCGGTCCAGACTCATCATATTCTTCCTTTGTGATCCACATCTGCTGGAAAGTCGATAACGAAGACAGAATAGATCCTCCAATCCAGACACTGTACTTGCGCTCAGGAGGCGCAACAACCTTGATCTTCATCGTAGACGGAGCCAGAGACGTGAGCTCCCTGGTAAGGCGCTCGCCAATGCCTTCGTACATGGTTGTGCCGCCAGAGAGAACAACATTGCCGTAGAGGTCTTTCCTGATGTCCACATCGCACTTCATGATGGAATCGAACGTGGTACGATGGATACCCGATGCCTCCTTGCCCAAGAATGAAGGCTGGAAGAGAGCCTCAGGGCAGCGGAAACGCTCATTGCCAACAGTGATTATGTTGCCATCAGGCAATTCGTAGGACTTTTCGATGTCACTCGAGTCTTCGGCATTCTGCGGACACAAAAAAGGCACGAAACATTCACGTGAAACAACAAAAGCTCAGAATGAGAGCCGTCATGGCAGCGGAAACGCTCACTGCCAACAGTGATTACGTTGCCATCAGGAAACTCATAGGATGGATGCTACATGAACAGAACTGAGCACTAGAGGTCTACTCGCAACAAATTTCCAACAGCAACAAACTGTCCGGGTGCCGAACCTTCATCTCCTCGTCGAAGTCGAGCGCGATGTAGCAGAGCTTCTCCTTAATGTCGCGCACAATTTCTTTCTCGGCGGTGGTGGTGAAGCCATATCCACGCTCGTGAAGGATTGTCATCATGTACTCTGTCAGGTCACGACCGGCAAGGTCCAACCGCATCATTGCGTGCGGCAGTGCATAACCTTCGTAGATTGGAACAGTGTGGGACACACCGTCCCCCGAATCCAGAACAATACCAGTAGTACGACCCGAAGAATACAGCGAAAGCACGGCCTGGATGGCGACGTACATCGCAGGGACGTTGAACGTCTCGAACATAATTTGAGTCATTCGTTCACGATTTGCCTTCGGGTTTAGAGGGGCCTCTGTAAGAAGAACCGGGTGCTCTTCTGGTGCAACACGCAACTCGTTGTAGAAAGTGTGGTGCCAGATCTTCTCCATATCATCCCAATTCGTGACGATCCCGTGCTCGATGGGGTACTTCAAAGACAGGATACCTCGCTTGCTCTGCGCCTCATCGCCGACATAGCAATCCTTCTCCTCCATCCCAACCATGATGCCGGGATTCTTTGGGCGGCCAACAATCGATGGGAACACTGCGCGAGGCGCATCATCACCTGCAACTCCGGCCTTCACATTTCCGGACCCGTTGTCCACGACGAGAGCTTGGACCTCTTCGTCCGCCATTTTCGCACGAAATGAAAAAATTAAGGAGATAGCTGGTGAAAGCACCCAAGAGACGTCGACAATTACCTGAAAGGTCGCACAAAGCACGCACACCAGACTGACACTACGGAGCACAGAACGACGGACCCAGCCAACTGCACTGACAAATCTCCAGACGAACTTAAACTGAGTAAAAATATTTCCTACTACAAAGACTCCCTCGAGTCACATCATCCGCTCTAAGTGGCCTACTCTGCAAAACGCACACGGGGTGGAAGTGTCAGAGCAGCATCAACGAAAACTATGAGCGTGTGGTTGCAGAAGTGCCATACTTGACGAACCTGCAGCACTAGTGCCCAGGGGAACGCAGATGTGCAAATGATGATCAGCAAAACCGTCGTAAAATGGGGCCACTTTCGTTGCGAAAAATGCAGATAGATGAAGGGGGAAGGTGTACCTGCGGAACCGCCGCTGTGCGGGCCAGAGGGGCTGGTGTGCTGCTGTCAGCCGAGCACACCGTACTGCTGCGCTTCCAGCTGGCTTGATGACATTCTTAACAGCTTTCACCATTCTTGTTCCTACACATAGAATGGAAAATAAGTGTTACTTTTTAATGCACCTGATTGCACTTTGTAGTGTGCTATGCAGCAAAATGGAACGGCAAATGTCTATCGCACCTGGCGACTGAGACGGCAGACTGGTGAGTAACGAACTGTGATGGCTCAAAACAACGTTTTCCTACGGTAACCAGTAAGTAGAGGGGTCATGAATACTGATTTCTTTACTGTTCTGGAAGGCGCTGTGAAAGAAAGTGAATTTGGGGGCTCCAGCATACCTGTGTAGCGGTGTTGCGTACGGTTTACTTCGGTGTTCCGTTACAGTCCGTCAATCAACTCGTCATACTAGCGTGTAAGCCAGCCTTCTTCAGAGCGATCAACTTCAATTTTCGCAACATAAGAGAGAAAATAAATCTATTCAGCTTAATTTGGGGCCACTCGTGTGATCTGGATGAATTTATTCGTGGCGCTGTAGTGCTGCCGATTCCGTACATGGGCTCTGTGTGTTGGATGTTCGTAGCCGGAGTGAGTTTGAGTCTGCAACTAACGATATAGTGACGGCGATTGCATTTGAGGAAATGAACAACGGTTGCATATGAACGCCAAAACATTTAGCAGTGAAGGAATCGTTTTGGAGCGTGCGAACCTGACGCGCGCATTCTGAGAGGCGGCCAAAGAGGCACGCCAACTGGTACTGCCTACAAAAGTACTCCTGGGAGTGCGTGCGTTGCGTAGTGCTCGACAAATACGATATTATCTGTTTTTCTAATATATAGAAATTAAAGTAGTCGCGGAATGCCCCGGCTGGCCACTCGGATGAAAGGGAATGGGAACTCCGGAGTTCTCGAAATAGTGGTGGAGGATCTCCTGGAATGCAAAGTGCACTGCAACTCCAGTGTCCAAAGCATACGCTGTTTTAGAAAATGCCAGTAGGGCTCTAGAATGGTTGTGCCAATGCGGCAACTCCACTCCACCTTCCGCAAGTAGGAATGATGCCAAGTTTCGGAGGAAGGGAGAAAACACTGAGACCAAAGTGCCGAGACCTTTGTTCGGCTCCTTATCACTGCAGTACAAGGCAACCTTTCCACCACTGAAGTGATTGGCGGGCAACGTGCAGGCTTCACTGTGTCCTCAACGCGGGTGGGCAACCTACCTACATTAGGACTCACTGTTCTAGATTCGCTTTTAGATGTGTCATGCTTCTCCGCTGGAGCCATCAAGTACCGGTCACAGGTGGCTCTGAGAGAAAGGAACAGTGACATTCCCGGCCAGTAGGATGCGCTGCACATCTACTGAGTACCGACTAACAAACACACTGAGACTTTGCGCCCTCGATTCATGGCAAAACGCCCGAGCTGTGCAGCAGCCTCTTGAGTTCTACGCTTAGCTAATTCATATATCAGCCGTAGCCTGGACGCTGGGAGCTTTAGCGCAGCCTAGAGAAGTGTTGAATAGGAATTGACGAAGTTGCTCTGCGTGACGTCCAAGCGGCGAATGCTAAGGCAGCTCACAGAAATGTTGGGTAGGAATTGACTACATTGCCACTGTCATTGTTTTTAAGCTTTAAAAATATGAATTCTGCATCCTAGGATGTTTTTTTTAAGTATAGTTCGAGCTTTTCAGCCAACTGGGTCAGCGGCACGCGACAGAGGCAGGAGAAGTGCCGCCCCAATGGGACAAACTGGGGGTCGCTGATTCCGTACTACGTTCAACATCTTTGCCGTTCTTTTGCGTCCTCTGTCAGAGGGATTGCTACGAAACAAAGCTGTCAATTGCCGTCTCCTCTTCTTGTCCGCTATCGAGTAGCCCTGACGGAAGCAACATAGAGAGAAGTTCCAACTTGAAACTAGTGTCTGTACGACGCACGGATGACCTTATTTATTATTTGTACTGGAAGGCTATGTACCCTCTGCGGTCACAGTTAAACGGAAGCAGATGGGCACCTGGTTGGCAAACTTGCAACTGGTGAGATTGAGATAGAGCTGATGTACCTCAGGAGGGCGCTGCAGATGGTCAGTGGGCCATGATTTGCAATTAACAGCATCGTTCACATGTAAACAAACAGCTTTGACCTAGATACGGTTGGGCGTAAGTGTTGATGGAGAGCCCAAAGGCCACTGGAGCTTTCTTGATCGCAAGAGGTCCAACCTCAAAACAGTGAACTCAGTTCTCAGTACAAAGCAGTTTCATCACAGGCCGCGTCTTGGCCACATGAATCCCGTAGATGCGTGGCAGACAGAATGAACGGATATTTAGTGTTCCTTATATTCACGGCGAATGACGGACTTCGAAGAAGCTTGAAATGCAGCACTACGACATGATAGTTATTGGCTAGCTTTGCCGACAGTCCAACGGGGAGTGAATTTGTTATAACAATGCGGCCTCATCCTTTTCTTTCGATCGCCTATGTTACGGTTGTCTTTCTCCACTCTGTGCAGCCAGTCACCCAACAAGCTTTACTCTTGCGTGGTGCCAGGCTGCGTTAATATGTAGTCGTCTTCGGTGTACTTAACGACTACGAGAGCAGCGAAGCTGAACAATTGTGCGGTTGGGCCGTTTTGCACCACAAGCGGGGACAAAAAAGCTACCTCCTTCGCTCCAAAGGAAGATGTAAGGTGGCCCATATTCTCAGTTCTGGAGGATACATTGAAGCATTAACTCCGTTCAGGTGGTTAGTGGGACTGTGTGAGTTCGTGTGCCTCTCCAAAATTAGCTCCTTCATCTCCAGTTTTTACCTCTGCTGCCGCGTGTGTGAGGCATCGCTCAGGGTATGGGCATAAGACACTTGTAGCCGCTTTTGGAGTCTAACCTGACGCTTGCCTGACCAGCAGGCCTAATGCTTCTTCTGGGGGGATCCTGCATCGAGCCCTATTCCTGTTTCGGTTCTTAGCTCGAGCTATATCCGGCGCGGCATATACAGCTGCCTCACCAGCAAGTCTGCAGAGGGTCCTACTGCAGGTTCATTAGTCCGCAACCAGGTAGACAGCACCAGTTGCCGTTCGCATGGCTTTTCAGCTTACCATATTGGAGTCACAAGGCTTCCGTGTGCCGTGGAGGCCGGCCAAATCTTAAAACAGGAAGGTAGGGAACAGGTTCCTCCAGGAAGCCAGGAAGCCAGCCGAAGAACACTTAGTCGCAACGTTCGTGGAGCCACTCAGCAGCCAGTACACAACTCGTGGCCGTTGCCACGGTGAACACACGTTCTGCGGAGTCGCCACAGCCATAGCTATGGCGGCTCTTCAGCCAACAGAGACGCGCCAGTATCGTAGAATGCTTCACTGGCTTCGACAGCAACTTCACGTTGACGAAGCCCTCTTAAACCCGCTGCATAGCACTTCCCGGAGCTCGCTAGCGGGATTTTCTCATATGTTGCGCCTGTAATGAACCAAATAGCCTACAGTTTAGTTAAATTGCACCTTGACTGAATCCAATGGGGACCTTTCGATCCCACGTGATTCCGTCCAAGGGATGCCATGAGGAAGGCAGCAGGAGCAGCAGGACGAGCAGCATAGAGAGCGCCAGCAGCGCAATAGAGACAGCGATGGGGACGACAATGCCAGCGATCGGCGCCACGAACAGTAGCAGCATCAGGAGCAGCAGGGAGAGCAGCAGCAGCTGCAGCAGCAGCAGGAAGACGAGGTGCAGCGCACTGAGGTGCACGGGCATCTCAGAAAGCTAGACACAGGGAGCAATGACCTCTGCGGCACGAATTCGCTGCTGCTTTTTATCTATGCTTTCATTGCTGACGTAGCAGCAACAGCAAAGTGCCTCAGCTACATCGGTTTGCAGTCAAACGACCTCGGCCTTGCTACATTTGCTTCTGCTGCTGCTGCTGCTGCTGCTGTCTACACCCACCATCGTAGTGGCATTCTCCAAGCGCAGCAAAAGAAGCCACTGCAGCATCAGAAGCTGCTGCGAGAGCAGGAGCAGGAACAAGAGCAGGAGCAGCAGAAGGGTCCTCTATAGCTGCGACAGCGCCAGAAGAAGCGCTCGTCCCCACAGCAGCACCAGCAGCCTCTGCTGGCGCTTCTGATTTTAAGGTTTGCTGCCCCTGGTAGCAACCTCATCAGCATCGACATTTTGGAAGCGATCCCCTTATATATTCCGTCATCAGCAGCAAAAGCAGCAGCGAGTACCTAGTCCGTAGCATGATTTTCCTTTAACACGCCCCTTACACAACTCGCCGAGTCTAGTGGTCTTCCCTCCTGATGGAACGTTCCTTTGCTCTTTGTGCATTCATAACAAATGATTGCCCCTCTCGAATCTTGACTCTCACTGCCCACAGTCTGCTCTGTTCTTTCGTTATTGCCTTTGTTCACTCCCTCAACATCCATTATGTTGCTTAGCTCCGTGAACCACCTCTCTGTATGGGCATGCACTGCTCCTAGGTTGCAGGCTAGGGGTTGCGCAGCCTCCTCCCACGAAAACTGCTCTGCTGGCCCAGCTTTCGCACTTGCCTTGCGTAATTGTTTCAGGCTTGTTTGAGGCTTGACACATCGTTTCTCCCTACAGCTAGAATGTGCTCTGCTTCGCTGGCGTATTTCTGGAGAGGATACAGAGTCCATTTTCAAGCAGCTAATTCACAAGCGCCTTGTTGCCTATGTCTACGGCGTTCCCGAGATGCATGCAGTGTGATACTTTGGAGCTCATGGGGCACACAACCAGCTTGTGGCCTGCTCGCGGCCCCAACGCCTTCAGTTTATCCCCACATCGGCGAAACGGGTCACCTAGAATTAGCCTCATGCCGATTGTATCCTTTTGCTTTAAGGGTTGTCAGTGCGTCAAATATACATTTTGTCAAGCCGTACTTAACCAACTTTCCCTGCGGGTGCCCCACGCTCGCGGCCATTTGTCGAACGACATATATCTGGTTCGAAGCTATGCTTCCTCCCCAGTAGACTAGGAGTGCAGTCTTATGCTCCCATCTTCTATGGAACTCCTGCAACTCCTTCACTTTGTTTTTAAGTTGCTCTGACTGAAAGATTTCCAGGTTTCCTGTTTGTGCCCCCTCTGCAGCCGTGGCTTCACACGCATATGACCGATAAGAACTTTTTCTGTTTGTTAAGGAAGCTTGGGCATCACATGGATCAACTCAAGAACCATACTTGTAATGCGCGGGAGCTCCCTGCGCAGCCAGATGATGTATGTAAATGCGCTGAGGCCGCTGCGGCAAAGCGTCACCATACGTGAGAAACACAAGCCTCTGAATAGAAATTATTCTTTAAGGCTGTCTATCGAAGTCTGTTTCTTGGTTTCGAGCACGATTTGTAAGAAGTCCAACTTTGATGCACTAAGTCGACCTAAATAACGATGAGGGTCTTCCACCATAAATCACGATTTATGGTGAAAAGCCACGAAGGCTTTAACTTCATGATGGTAAGATGTATACAAAGATGCGTGCCCCTCCCCAATTATTTTGTGATGAGCGAATGGCGTTTGCATCTCACGTAAACTCGCGGTGGCGTTCTAGTGTGCAAAGGATACTGAAGGCGTAAAGCCCAAATTCACTTTCGTTCCCCTCTGCTCTTCTGGTGTTACAACGCACTGAAACCACTTTTCACACTTACAGGAAGACCAAAGGTAGCCGTGTTCCCCAAAGCGAGTCAAGCTGTGCTGCACTCATGATACTCAACGGCTCAACAAACCGAAGACGGGTACAACTATTGGTATCTACACAGCAAATTATACCCAGTCCTTTCAGTAATACAAACATGCAATTATTTAGCAAATTTCATTAGTCTTAGGAGCATGCTGTAGCGTTGGCAGCGCTCCCCACGCATTGGTCGACCGAGACCAGTTGCTTCACGCGTTCGTTGCGTCGGCTTCTGGCATCTGGGGAGCAGGAAGTCGAGGCATTCTGAAAGAATTCCCATTTATTCTACAAGTGTCGAACCACTGAAGGAACGGTTCCGGCGGAGAGCGAGTTGCATTTCTCCGACGACTTCCAATTCGTGCCAATAGCATCCCGGTTCACAGTGTGACGCATTACTGTGGAATGCAGTCAATCAGCTGGCAGCTAACAAGACGCTGCTGGCAGCGTACGCCGGTCCTTGGCCCGGCATAGTATTTTCTACACCAGCTTCAAGAACGTAGTGGGCGCAGCAAACGAAACTGCATCCGGTTGCATGCACGTCATGCCTGTTTACTACGCTTCCACCCTCCTACCATTCTTCAGATGCACACAGGAACATATGCAGGCCACACATGGGGATGTAGTCTTGCTGCCCGGAATATTTTCGTGAAGAAGTTCAAGGGACACTACGGGGCCGGTGTGTCGACTGCGTTCCTCAAGGAGCTGTGCCTCTGAATTACGACGAACGCAGTACTATACATACTACCGAAGGCAAACAGGCCCTGACCTACCGACTGGCTCATGCTCACCCCGCCTTCCACGGCGTCTGCTTCCCAGATGTGGAGTGACCACCGTTTGGTTATATAAGCACATTGAAGGGGCCTAGCAGAGTGGCCGTTGCTTGATTCTATACGACACCAGTAGTCACTCGTTCTAAGTGTACACGGTGGGCAGCTCCATGCTTCTTGAGCAGCTGTGGTAGCTCAACGCTACTGCTCTAGCCAACTCCTCGAAGAAGCGCTCGGTTTCCCATTGTAATGGACCCATTTACGTTTGTCAGATGGCTAGGGGTTTGTGTGGTGAGTCGAAAAGGATTCCCGTACTTCTCTAAAGCATGCGGTAGTAATATCTGGGCAGCTCTTTAAGTGCTATTCAGTTGGCTCACAGCCCTCTGTCGGTGGTTGCTTACAATTTTCAGGAACCCTCCTTAGAGGAAGCACAGCCCGCGTGGTGGCTGGAGCTTCAGCGGGCTGAATTTTTGCAGAGGGAAGAAGAGAAATCTGGTGATGTGTGCCAAAGAAACACACTGCCTTCTGTTCCCCAAGCCAGCCTGGCGCCGGAACTCCGTAGGCGGAAGGTACATTTTGCGGCTGAGCAGACTGCTGGTGCCGATCTCTGCGTCTATGAAAACGACTCAGAGTTCGTCGTATCTTTCGCGCACCCAAATATGCATGGCGCTGGAGAGACAGGTCTCCCTCCTTGGGATGCTAGGGACCTGGATGACACTGAGTACATACGGCAGATGCTTCTCCCGCCAACAGAAACGCCGCCTCCGTCCCTCGCTGGTAGCTCCTCTGCCAGCAGTCTCATGGAACTCAAATGCGGCAGCCTTCCATCAGATGAGGAGAACGTTTTCCATGAACACTGTGACACTTCCGCGGAAGGCCGAATTTGAGGGTTTCAGCGCATAACACGTACGGAGAATGTTAGAATAGAGAACGCAGAGAACACTTCAAGCTTTTAACGCATACGGACGAGAAGCATTATCTGTTTGTTGAAGGATATCACCCTCAACTGTGCCGACCAGTTCACATCTACGCTCATATTACCATGCCCTTGAGTGATAAGGGAGGCGTGGATTTGGCAGGAGCCATACCTGGCATATTTTTTATTGCAGCAGCCTAATTGATCTTCTTCCACAGGGTAGGCAGTTGCAAGTGCCGCCTGTGCTTTGTGAAGATAACCGGCAGTGGAGGGAGGTATTGAAGCTTCCATGTCACGAGAAGCATGCCCTTTGAGCTGTCATCAAGATGCACATCCTCTTTGTACCTGTTGGAGGTGCCCGAAAGTCGTGGATAGTTTTTCTTTGAATTTGTGCTGCACTGCATCGCCACGAATGTAAGGGGGATAATAAGGGGGCACATACAGGCTGCCCGGTGTTCAGGCATCACGTTTCGCGAAGTGTAACTGAGCCGTAGACCTTGCGATTTGACGGGTAGACCCTTCCTTGTTTTAGGAGGTTTGGATTGTAAGCACCCAGTACATCGTCGACGTGCACGTAGAGATGAGTAGACCTGTGCTATGTGAAGTGGCGCACTGCATATGTGGCGCAGGTGCTTCAAATGGACTACTGCGGAGATGCCTCTGCTATTGTCTTCTTACTTTATTTTCTCCTAAGGCCAAATACACTGGTGTGCACGCCTGCATGGAATGGGAATGAGAGTATTCGAACGAAAGTTTTACTGAGTACCTTTTATTCAGTCCTGGAGGAGTCCCCACACTTCTTCACAATTAGGAAGAGATTCCTTTAGAGTGCTACACACAGATGAGTACTCCGTGATGTTATTCGGAGCTTTCACTCGTAATTTGTCTGTCACTGAACTCGAAATGCCAGTTCGCGCAATTCCCTTCCCAGGCGAGCTGGGGCTCGAGCACCGCTCCTCACTGGGCACTCTCTGGAAGAATCTACGGCGCCTATGATTTGTAAAGAAAAAAGACTCTCCTAAACGGGGCTGTGGCTGGAAATGTTAGTAGCTTTGAAGGGCTCGGGCGGATAGATGGCTCGGCAGACTACCAGTTACGACGGGCCAGCTTCCTGCACTACATGACTTCTTTGCAGGAATACAGGCAGTTACGTGGCCCTAGTATATTTAGTTACACAGCTTTTGGTTGACGTAAGCCACATCCGTGAAAACAGACGCACTCACAATTGGTAGGTGAGTCGTCCCACGCAGTGTAGCTTCTCCACTTAGTCACGATGGGAAAAGCCGCAGGCAGTTCTGAAGGCAGCGTAGGACAACATAACACAAATTGCGAATTGTACACTCGGAAGGGTGTCTTCCACCAGCTGCGCATCTGCTACAGTGGGCAGAACGCGGCGTTACTTCGCCTACGATCAGGTTGCGCACCGCTGTCGAAGTCTCCTACACATCAATGACAACAACAGATTAAGAGCAAAAACGAAATCTTGCTGTTATGAGTGGCTCAACTCTCAGCTGCAGCCCTTCAATTCAATGAAGCCTAGCTTGCTGCACTGTTCTTCAGACACAAAGACCTCAACAGAACAGGCCAGTAGTACTTCCTGAAGTCTATCTAAGACTGGGCTTGCCTTACTTATTACACTTGATTAATTTTTCTGTTTCAGTTTCCCGTACCTTTCAAAGAGGAGCAGGCATTTCATGATGATGCCCTGTTGCCTCAGTTCGCGTTATAACGATCCCTCCCTGCAGCGCAAGATCTTTCTTTTGGGCGTCGCAGTCTCATTTGCTGCATCGCTTGCTTGTAATTTTTGGTCCTCTGGAATATCTTCATCCTGCACAAGCCCTTCTTGACATAACGTGGGCGAAGGCCTCGTCCCCCTTCCCGGTCTTGGCAAACGGGCTTGTCCGTAGCATGGGGCTACTTGGGAAGTCTCACTTCCTTGCCTTCCTCGTTCACAGTTTGCAGGCTCCATCAATCCGCACAGGGCCAACCCAGGATCTGTGGCCCCCAGCACGATTTGACTGCTTTCTAGATAACTGCCACAAGGCCTCCAGTGAATTGCTGGCACGCGGGGGAGGCTTACACCATCATGATTGTGTTGTGGAAGCAAAGAATGGAGCATCGTGCTTTGCCTCTACCTCTTCACGAACGCAGCATGCAGAGGAGCTCCACAAACGAGAACCCTCACCACTCATCCGCGTGGCAACTGCTGCTGAATTTTCGACAGAGCGGCTCCTTCGTATCCGGAGGAGAAATATTCGCTTCCTTTGTGCTAGCCGAAGAAATAGAAAACGCGGGTTGTTACCTCCAGCAAAAGCAGCTGCAGCGGAAGCAGCAGAGAAGTGGAACGCGGAAGAGGAAGCATTTCTGCGGCGTTCACTGGAGCTCAAAGACCCGCTTGTGAATGAAGCGCCAGTACGACGATGGAGAACACAGTGGTGCGTTCGTATTACTTCTGCATATGTCTGTGAACTTTCTTCCCTTATATCTTCTTACCTTTCTCTCTGGGCACTACTTGTCTTCCCATCGCAGGTTCCCCTCCTTTGCAAGGGCATCACTTGTCCCACTAATGCAGGCCGCCAGTCGGTGCGACGCCATAGTTGAAGTTCGAGACGCTCGCCTTCCTTTACTCTCCAGATGCAACTTGCGTGTATTGCATCTGCCAAAGCCCAAGGTTGTTGTCCTAACACACGCAGACCAAGTGGGGCATATTTGTTTCCCTTTTTCGCTACCTTTTCAAGCTAACCCTTAATCTTTATGGTGATGAAGATTTGCGATGAGTCATGGTTTATGCAGAAAGAATGCGAAAAGTGGAGTGGCATCAATCTTCTGTGGTTGAGAATGCGAAAAGTGGAGTGGCATCAATCTTGTGTGGATAAGCAGTTGAGCGCACAACGGCAAGGAATTACAAAATTATCAGCGTCCAAGTTCTTGCCAGTGCGCTGCTGGACATTGATTCCGGGCAGTGGAAAGTCGTCTGTTGCTCAACTTGCTGCATGCTTTTTCCTTTGCACAGGCGAGCCCAACCGCAACACGCCGCTGGCAGCGGCACTTTCGGCGCGAAAGTCGGGAAGCAGCGGCTTTGGAGCTTCACAGTGAGCTCACAAGAGCTCGGAAAAAATTAAAGCATCCCGGTAAGCGTGTGACTCCTGTTGCTAATTACTACGCTTTTCGATTGCACTGATGCATCTAGCACGGAGATTCATTAGCGTGCGGCTCGAAACCACGGAATCTCATTAGCCAACAAAGACTCCCATCACTTTGGCTTTGGATGCTGCGCATTTCTTTGTATTTTTACGCCACAGCACTATTCCGTTTGGTATCCGAGGCTTGCCCGTTGGCACCACGGCTGCCCTATTTATTTGTTGACGCGCGGCAGCCCGCGGCCGTCGTGCGGCTGCAGCGGCTTTTGCGTAGTCTGGTGAGGCGGCACTGTCGGTACAAGAGAGAACTGGAAGCATTCCGCTCACTGTGTAAACAGGCCTTCGCGGCTGCAGCAGCAGAAGGGATAGACTCATCCGCTGAGACTGCCAAAGCTGCGCAAGTGGCTGCATCCCTAAAAAACACAGCAGATGAAGCAGGACGCTGTGGAAAAAAGCTCTCTGCACGAACTATTCTCCAGCAGAAGAAGCCCTTACGCATTCTTATCGTTGGGCTTCCGAACGTAGGGAAAAGCAAGATCGCAAACAGTCTGGTGGGGAGAAAGGTGGCGCGCAGCTACCGCTGGCCAGGCACGACGCAGTCTGTCAATGTAAGGCACTCAAGTGCTTCGTTTTTTTTAGAACGCTAAAGCCAATTACACTGAGCTTTGATTTGCGAGACGCGATAGGCTACGGAGTAAGAGAGCAAGACAGGCTGGCTTCTTGTGGGCGGTTCGCAGGTTCATAGGCAGCCGGTCACACTGGCGCGGCAAGGCGACATGTCTCGGCTTTTCGACGTTGTAGACACTCCCGGGTTTATTCCTGTCTACCCTGGTAAGAATAGCAGGAAGAAGCGGCTAACTTTATCACAGCAGTGGCAACTGCAGCGACGGCTTGGCACAGCTTCGCGGCAGCGACAGCTCGATTTGAGCATTTTCTTTGATTTCAATCATCCACCTCCTTCTCCTGATGAACTTGCCTTACTCGGGGCTTTCCACATGATGCCACACAGTTGCCTTTTTACTATAGAAGAAGCAGCGGTAGCCCTTGGGGCCGCGTTCTTTCGCATGGAAGATTTACTACCGGGAGCTACTGACTTTGACAGGGTAATGACTCGCTACAAAATTGATCCGCTGTCCGTAAAGCATGACATGAACAAGGGGGTACAACTTCTGCTGACGGTGAGTAGCGGGGGTAGGAAGCAAGGAAGGTACATGAGTAGAAAGCCCGCATGCTTCGTTTTGACCTGATAAATGCTCTAGCCACAAGCTTCTTCCACTTGCTTTGCTGCTGCCTCTTCAGCTAGCGGAACAAAGACACCACTCCAATGAGGGCGCTGCGGCGCAGCGACTTCTCAGTGATTTCACCCAAGGTTACTTAGGAAGGCACACCTTTGAGCTACCTCCAGTGCGGCATCCGCCCCCGCGCGCTGCATCGACTGAGATGACCATGTGGGACGTGCGAGAAACAGGAGAGGATATACGAATTGATAAACCTGACTGCGTTGAGGAAGACTTAGTTCAGCCGGCCTTCGGTGGCGTGGATGGGACTTCATTGCCGAGCACGGAAGGCGGGAGCAGCCGCCAAGTCCAAGCAGATGAGCATAGAGTCACAGTGGGGCTGGCAGCATCGAGGAAGCGATGGACAATGCGGCGTTATGGAGACAGAATTTCCTTCGTGCTGCAGCCGCAAAATTTTGGGCAGGCTGCGGCCCACGATGGAAAGCGTACAGAAGTGCTTCAGAGTGAAGAGTGGAAAACGGCTTGCCGACCTCACCTAAGCTGCAGTAGTAAAAGAGGAACAGAAGGCCTCCCGGGAGCAGCACAAAGCCAAGCATTAAAGGAAGAACGGAAGTGCAGTGCTTCCTACTCCGATTGTGGGGGAGGAATGCAGCAACAGTCGCGACTGTTGGCACCAGGATGGCTTGAAGGGTGGTAGAACTTCGCCTTTGTGTGCCTCTTAAGAGCTTTATTCTGGTTTCAAAGACTGAGCCAAATTCTGCGCTTAGTACAGCAGCATACATCTGCTTCGGTGCAGGGTCTAACCAGATACGGCAGCATGGACCGTCCCGAACCTCACAACGTGCAAATAGCCAGAAGCAACGCAGCCTGAAAATCTATATGCCAAATTCCCTGTCAAGGTAGAACATAAAAACTAGAGCGTTTGAAAACCAGCGTACACCAAAGCGCGGATGATTGCATTCGCGGTGTTACGCATTTGACGCATTTGTGCATATAGTGTTTCAAGCAGTCTAACCCCGCTGACGCTTACAACCACTATAAAGACTTTCATGCATGTCCTGCACATTTGATTTCTGCATAGGGTTTAGTCTATTGTGATGCGAGTGCCGTCCGTCGCGGCTTCCCTGTACGCTGTCCTCAGTGCTTCCCGCACACTGCGTACAGCTGCTACGAGCTGTTTCAATTCCGCTGCGGCAGCTTCGTTTTCTTCCTCCAAGTACCTTATCTGGCTCTCAATTTCGTCCTGCGACAGTGAAGAACAGGAGGCTATGTTTACAGAAGCCGCTGCAGTGTTCTGGCACGCTTTCACGGTCAGGAGAGACCTGCCACTCCACAGGTATACATGAAATAAACGCCTAGACACTCGCCAGGTCTTCTTTCCCTTACTTGTGACTGAACGCCTTCTGGGAGTTTTTCTATTTCTTCTTCTATGGTGTGCACGAGAGTGCCGACACCCTTCGAGCAGCTCAAAATGAACTCATTAAGCTGTTCCTCAGTCATTGCGGTTCTAATAACGACATTGGAGGTTGCAGACGTCTCCGAAGATTCGCTGACATCCACCGAGCCACTGACTGACCGTGGCGGTGCCATTTCCGACAAATGTACCACCACGTCCTGGTTGCAAACGCAGGCCACAACACAAAAAGATTTACTGTGGGGATAATGCAGACAGATTTCCACGTAACTCAGTCAGAAGAGACTACCTTGAAACCTGGTGGGGATAGGCTTGCCGTAAAGTGTTTGAGCAAGTTCCCCAAGAGGATTTGCAGCTTCGTTACAGGGTCCCGAGCAGGAGGTGCCTGCAGTGAAGAGCTCCCAATGGGTGGCTGCATCTGCCCCCAATGGTCAAGCAACAAAGGAGGTGCCTACAGTCCCATGCAGCTGAACGTCAGTAGAGGACCTTAGCAGGTGCTTTAGGATGTGGTGAAGAACCCCTTCTCGTCAGTAGTCTGCCATGTCCGCGACACTTTCACAGAGGAGCAATGAGCACGAAATGCTTAATGCGGTCTGTTGCGAATGCCTTTCTTACTGGGCTTCACCGTGTTCATCAGCAGACCTCTCTTTTAAATGCCTTTGGACTACACCACTGTGGTGATCTGTTGTCACGTAGCTCCCTCTTAGGGCTGCCCAGTGCTCGTCTGCCAGATTTTCCTTCCAACAGTTTTTCCTTCTACCACAATAGAAAAAGTCCAACTGTACTTTCCGTGCTCAACAATTCTGGTTGTCGTTTGCCCACATGAGGGGCTGCCAATGTGCATGCTTCCGCAGGCACATGTCCCACATGAGTATAAAAAAAGAAATATGAGCAAGGATTCGAGCCTTTCCCATTTCCAACACCATAGTAACCTTGGCAACGCTTTTACCGTGGCGAAATTTCACTTAGAGGGAAATGCGTGGGTTGACGTCGTTGAAGGGGTGGACTTGAGCGTGCTTATCTATCGGGCACTGCTGATCCCCAAAAAATGTTCCATCTGCAACAGGCGCATCGGAATTATTAATCTTCACCTTGGGCGGTCATGTTTCATTCCGTCAGGTCTGAGGTGGCTAGCAGAGTACGATACAAAACGTTAAGGGAAGCTACCTGTGGACACGCTACCCTTGAGGGTGCGCCTTCGTCGGACAAGTTTATTCACTATGAGGATGACATGGAACTTTGCTTTACATAAATTTGGTTGCTGGCCCACGAGCCGCGTCTCCTCGGGCCACTTGGGACGAAGCAACCGCGAGTGCGTTGGGAGTTCGATTCGTGGTCTTCGCAGCATCTCCCAGACCTTGGCAAACACAGCTGCGGCAAGCATTGACTGCGTTACTTGCTTGGAAACTAGGCCATCATCCTGGCTTGATAGTAATAAACTACGGCGGCTCAAAGGGTTCCACAGCGGTGGAGGCGATCGTTTCTTAAGATACAGGAGCCTCTGCAGTAACGGGGAACCCAGAACAAACAATGCTCCTTTGAGCGGCAGTACCTCGGGTATTAGTGTGGATCCCACCGCTCCAGGTCGTCAGTTCATCTGGCAGACTGTCCGTTTCTGGCTGAGATGCGGGTAGAACTGTTGGGTGTTCGTCTCGAGAACTGGAATATTGTTTGGCTAGTAACCTTCAGGATGATATGGTAATTATGTAGGAAGTGGCCTTCAATTGCCTCTGACATCGATATGCAGAACGTGTGTTCCGTCCGCTGCTGCAGACCAGAGATCGCTTCATCGATTTTTGTTTGTCCCCAGAGGAGGAAATGCGCCTAAAAGTTCTTCATGAGCGGGTGGGATAGGCCACGCCGCGTTATATATCTTCGCTGCTTCGTGGTGCGACAGCGCCTTTTTGTCAGATCCTTCACAATGCTAATTACTTGTGTTCAGATAGTTTCATCTTCTCGGAGCACGATGACTGCGGAGGAAGTGGCTGAATGCATGCTAACTCAAAGGGAAGGAGAAGAACAAAATCTCTCTTCGCTTCAGCGATTGCGACAGTTCGGAAGGTTAGATCGTGTTTCGCTCGAGATTCTGCTTTTCTTGCGTGTCTGCCACCTGTTGGTGCAGCATGTTTTGCAGCTAGCTTTTCCTAAAAAAACACAATCTCTGTGGTTCTGAGTTGGGTCTTCAGTTACATTTTTTCTCCTAGGGGCCTTGAAGAGGATGGTAGGCGGCTATTCCGCACAATCATTCCGTGCTATGAAGACACGAACTCGACTGCAAAGCGTAAGCCTAACAGTAAGCACTTCAGTTTGAACCATTCTCCCTCACGCACGTGTGATTGAGTCAATCGTTAGCTCCGCTTTCGCCGCTGACAGTTGAAATGGCGCTGTTGAACTGCTTGTTGCAGATTTCCAGATAGGGAAGGAGGACTTCAACGGTCGCATCTATTTCTTGCTATTGCATCTATGGTCTCTTCACTGTGCTCTTCAGAAATCAGTAAGTCGTGTTCTGCTTTCCTGCAGTGACTGTTTTACATATACCTGTAATATCTTACATCCCGACAGTCACACACGGAGATGCGTGGGTAGCGCAAAGTCGCGATTAAACATTAATAAGTCTTTGCGGTTGATGGGAGCCATGCCTGTGGACAGGGTCTGGAGACGTTGAAGATAAAATTATGGGATGCCCTTTGGGACTTCTTGACGAATCTCTTAATTCAAGAAGGGGCAAGCCATGAGCACGATGCACGTCCTGACGCAGCTATGAGATATGAAAGCAGGGATAAGCCATATCCATTTACGCTGTCGTGGTCGTGCAGCATACGTTGTTCACGAGACCAGTGCACTTTGTCCCTGCTTTCAGTGCCGGTAGTATCCGTTCACGCGCGTACGTGTGTTCATTCTACTGTGCACTCATTTCGCGTTAGTGTGCCTCTTTTCAGTGAGCTCGACTTGTGCATCCGTCATTCTGTTTTTTCAGGTGAGCGAGTTCAGAGTTCCAGCTATACTTCGCGAGCAGCAGTTCACCTCTCTGGGTTTTTGTGTCTCCTTGGATGAAGCATTTGAAGATGAGAAGGGTTTTCCCGCAGGGCAACTGGCGCATCGTCTTTGGGTGTATGTGAAGCTGGAATATTGTGCCATAAGAGCTTTTTTCGTTGAATTTCTGATTCTTGAAGCTTGAGGGGCAGGGAATTGGGTGTTTGCTGTTTATCATCTCGTTTAGGACGGTTTTTGAGGCTGCGGAGTCGAAGCGGGAGTCTTCCGAACTAATCGAGCTGACCACCTACGCGTTGAGGGCAGTAAGCGACTTTTGTGTTGCATTTTCCTTTTGCAGATGCGTACTGTGGAAATGATGGGCTTGTAAGACAGCTAATGTGGCGAGCGACACCAAATGAATTGGAGGACATCACTTAAACTGGCGAATCAAAAACGCAGATGCCGTATGCACATTTTAGCGATTTTTGGTGTCCTTTGAGTTGTGCTTTTGCAGCGAAGCTTTGCTTTGCAGCTCTCGCGAGATGCTTTGATACAGGGGACATTCCGGTGGCCGACATGGCCCCCTGTGGAGGCTTGTTGATAAGAGCTAAGCCTACAAGCAGTTTGAAGCCCATATACTGTGGGCGCGGTGAATTCAGGATGGCTTTAAAGCCGTACAATTTTGTGTGGAGGATCTTCGTTGGAAACTATCAAAATTCTTTTTTTGCCGCCGGCACTGGCAAGCTTGACTGACAAGCTCGCAGTCATTGCAAAACTGCGCCACTCAAAGCGTGGATGCATTTTGTCTTGGGAGCCTGAAGCCATTCAGTGATTCAGCGAATGGACACAACTGTTTTCCTCATGGGAAAAAATCGTCACAAGACACTGTATGGTGGTTAGCGACTTTAGGTGTTTCACGTTAGGTGGTATCCGTAGTTTCAGCATATCGAGCCATACTTCGCCCAACAAGACTATATCCAGTGAGATGCAAGTGCACCTGATACACTGCCAGGCTACGCTTTTTTCAAGGCCCAGAACGGCTACGTTGATGATTCCGCCGAAGCCATAAAGTTGCTCCCCTCCATTAAAGGTAGCAGCAAAGGAGCAGCTGCAGACATATTTACTGAATGTAAAACCAAATATTTGGGGACTGTGTCCCCTTCTGACGCGGTGTTGTTGAACGGACGAAGGCCGAGCTGGAAGCCAGGCACTTCTTCATCCATTTGCCTTCTCGTTTTCAGTTCTTTTGTCTTCGAAACAATCATTTTAAGCGGTACCCTTTGTGCGCCACCATCAGGATGTTGGCATGCCTTCTGTGTTCTTCAAGGGTTGATGTAGCTTGAGGAACGCGATGCTCCCTGCGCCAGAGGATCCCAGTGCCGGGGCGTTGGCGATGCAGACGGGAGAGCAGGGAGCTGGGCTTGAAGGGCCTGTTCCTCTATTTCTTCCGCAGTTTTAAACTCAAATGTCGTCCCGCCAGCTTGCAGTACGCGGTAGAAACTCCACAAAACCCTGAGGTTAGCGTGAGAAAGAACCAGAAGGAGCCCTAGCAATGCAATTCGAGCGCATAGAACGACGCTCAGTGGCAAATCTATGATTAAGAAGCTCGCGCCAGGGAACCATCTTGATCTATCATGTTGTCTCCATCCAGCTGTAGCGACTGTGTAGGTTGTCTTGTCTGGAGCGTTTTGCTGGACTTTCCAGTACAAGTAGATGGTGAGACCCAGTTGCATTACCCATATTATGTTTAGCGAAATCTGGGTGTAAACTGCCACGAATGCAGGGAATGCATTCCTTTTCCCGATTGCAGAGAGCAACAGGCTTGCTGTTATAATGCCCACGACCCCACCTGCGGTGAATGCGGCGCCAGAAACATTGCGATCGAAGAGAACGTAGGTTGAGATAGCCAGGAGGAAAACAGCCCAGATTGTGACAGTTGTTCCAAGAGAGCAGCAGCAACACTGTCTGTATGTAGTTGAGACTCTGCCTTTTCTTTGGAGCAACGGCTGAGTCTCTTTGCCAGTGGCCTCGCTTTCCGTTAAACCTTGAGGCGCGGCCTCCTGATAGGCCATCGTGCCCGCCTTGTCTGCGCTACACGACTCCACAGCCCGTAAAATGACTTCAATTACTGAAAAGAGGCAATATCACAAGGTTTGTGTGGGCGTTTCCTTTGACTCTTCAGTGGCCGGTGGCGAGTTGGCGAGCTACGCAGCCGACGGCGTGAGGTTCCAGTGGGAGAAGGGCAAGAAGCAAGGGATATGCAATATGGCGCTAAGTATAAATAAAAGTGTATCTCAATATCCGAGATAGAGATGCTTGACCATGTGGAATTGCCCCGCGAAAACGCAGTAGTGTTAACCCGCCTGCAACCATGTGAGAGCCTCTTCAGTTGAGGCGGGCGGAGTCACTCAAACGTTACCAATGCCGTCACAACCTCACCTGAAATTCACCCTTGTAGCCTCAAAATCTACAATGAATTGTTGTATTCACTGTGGTCTTGGCGCTCTGCACTGATCATTTTTCCGTCTAGCAGAGATCTGCCTACTAACCATGAAGGGCGACCTCGCTGTACACGAACTGCAAAGCGGCAGCCAGCTTAGATCGACCCAGCTCCTTCCATAAGCACTTTTCCAATGAGCACAAAAAGTTTTATTATTAGTAGTTGAGGTTCTCTGAGTGTGCCAAATAGAAGGCAGCTCCAAGACATCGAGGAGATCGAAGGGCCAGCGGCCATGACGGCCCCACAGCCGTCCTCTTTCTTCACGACGAAAAATGATCAAACATAGCCCTAGTTGAGCCTTTGCAACTCCTTTAAACAGTGCAGAAGTATAGCTATTTTGCTTCTAGAATGTAGGGTGGGTGGGTCACCACGCATGGCTGGCTGAGCTACGACACAGGAATGTGAGCCAACATGTGCAGTTGCTTTCAGCGGGCCACTCAAGCAAGGATGCTTATCCTTGGAAAATATAAAGGTTGTTCTCTAGGCGCAAAGAACAGTGAAAACGTCTTCTATAATCTAGCGCGCTTTCAGTTTGGGCAGGCAGTGACATGCCTCGAGGCCTTCTCAGGAGAGAGTCCAAAAAAGATAAAAAAAAGCGGCAATAGCCTTTGTACCCTGTGAAAGGTAAGGGCAAGCATGCCTTTGGTGTGTCAAAGGATTTCACAAGTCACGCTTGAGTATGCAAGAACGCACTACAAGCAGTACAGTGCGCAGTTTCACCGAACACCAACGTGACCGCTGGGTCTATTTAGCGACACAGAGAGCACATGCTCGCTCAAACTTGTCAGCTTTATCTTTGAAAAGAAGTCTAAAACTACTTGCGTCGACAAAAACACATGCAACAGCAGAAGACAAGGGCACATATCAACGCTACACCAATAAAGATAAGGGAAAGTGCCCAATGAGGCATCCCGCTCCTTTGCCGGCCGTATGCCGCAGCTGCAAAGGTCTCAGGTACTACATACGCCTCTTCTGCTAGGCGACCGGCGGCAGGTGCTGCCAAACCAGGCGTCAGAGTAGGCTGCTGCTGAAACAGCATTTGCTGCCTTTGCAGCTGCTGCATTTGTTCTTGCTGCTGTGCTTCTGCATCGAATGTAGTTTCCTGCTTCACCGCACTGCTGATGTCATAATGCGTCGGCTTTTTAATCGCCTTGCACAGGACCTGAAAACGAGCACAGAAAAACTTGTAAGGCCCGTGTGCGTGAAGCAATCACTAAAAAGAGCCAAACACCAGTGTAGCTGAGCATTTTCGATTCGTTGCCGAAAAAATTTTGAAAGTAGGTCCCAAGTTGATACAAAACCTTTCATATGAATCTCCACCAAATTTGAGTATTTACCTGAACTGCAGATTTTTTAGCAAGGGTTTTGCACGGCTTTGTTCTTGTTGCGACGGGAACAAGTCGCCACTCCGGCAGTGCTGCACCAAAATAAAGCTCACTAAAGTTAACAAGTGACCGCAACCCAAGAGTGATATCAAGAGCGAATCTCCACAAAGTTTAGAAACAAGCGAATAAGGAAGCTCCACCTGTCTAAAAGGTTCGAAGAAAATTTCATCAAAAATATGATGGTTTGCGTCGGAGATGTTGCTAAAAGCTTACCGTCCTCAGCAAGAAACATCGCCCCTTCACAAACACGACCACATCGACTCCAGCATGCCCTGGGATAGCAGTTAGCAGCAGTAAAATACGAGATGTCAAGCTCCTTTGGGATGTACTTTCTCTTAAATTCCCGCGAATTAGTACTAAACTATCAAGCAGTGCTACATGCGGAGCAGGTAAGCTTCTGCTCAACATAGGCTCACGCTTCCTCGCCTCCTTCTTCTGGGTGAAGTCCTCTGAATCCAACGTCTGAGCAGAAAGCAAACTCGGCGTGTCTTTCTTCTTCCTTCCAAGCACTCCTATGCTGCTCTGAAGTGGTCGGTGCTTCTTCCTGCTCCTCCTGCTTCCCTCCAAATAGTTTCTTAAAGATTTCCACGAATCCGAGTCCGCTGGCGAGTGCCTCGCTAGTAGTGGCCTCTCGGTTTCCATTGGTAATTTCATATACATCCGGAGTAAGCGTATGCTTGAGTTCAGCTCTATGCGGCTTGCGTAACGTTCTGTCCGCATGGAGCGCCACGGGTAATACGGCGACGAAGAGGAGGATGGAAAACAGCCGTGAGGTCTGTAGGCCAAACGTGCTTCTGTGCACGCCCATTGTCTTTATATGTTAGGGCTGTTTAGAATGGAGAGTTTCAGCACCGAAAGCTGTAACGGAGAACGAAGTCTCTATCCCAGCTGTAGGGACTGCGACTCAGGACCTCTTGCTCCATCGCCGCGGGGACTTCCAGCCCCCTGGCCTCTTCACTATTTGCAGTGAGTATTTGTGCTTTGGTTGTAGACTGCTTGTCTTTGGTGGAAGGCAGCGGTCAGCGAGCCAAGCAAACGAGGACGAGGACCACCTCAAGGAGCTAGGTTGTCGAGCTGGCGGAAAAGCTGGTCACATTACATTTAAAAATTCACAATCCTCAATCACGAATTTAAAAAAAAAAAGAAAAATTAAGATAGTCCGACACACTAAGCTAGTTCCGTGGAAATCGAACCCAGGGGACTGGTGACTTCCCTCCAAGATCTCGGTAGCGCTCTGTGCTGGAGCCAGCCACCGTACAGCCCCTGAAGCCATTGACCCTCATTTTGCCCCCAAAGCCACTGAAATGCGATTTAATATGTGGCATTTTTTTGTGAAAAGTCGTAGGCCTAGGACCAAGGACAAGTATTGAGACCATAGCCCACCTTGTGTACGTGCCCACCCATGATGGCGGTGGGGGCTGGCGGGAGTACGACGGCGTTTACTAGTGCCTATATGTTCTAATCAAAAAGACACATAATAATTTAAATGCAGTTCACGCGCTCTAGCAGGCACAGAGTGCCCTAAAGAAAATGTACATGGTGAGCTTCTGCAGGCCCGGCACTTCCGGAGAGCTCAGCCTTGAGGCGTGTACGGCTCTCCACGTGAAGCAACACGCCAGAAGCAAGTTAAAACCAGATATTCCGACACTTAAGCGCCGCCGGCAGCCCAGCAACACTCAGCCAACTAACGACGCCCTGGGAACAACCCATGCTCCCTAGCAAAGCGAGGCTCAAAGTCTAATCTTGTTGCAAGCTCCACGTGAGACCTCAATGGCACAGATTCATACCACTGTGGAATCGTGCTACCTCGAACGTCCTGAGAGTCGGGCCAAAGTGCTTAGTGCTTCACAGAGGAACTTGCAAGTTCAGGTATATCGAAACGGAGAAAAGGACGAACCCCGCAGTGTACAGGACATGAAAAGAAAACCTAGCTTCCTTTTCCTGTCGAAAAGCGCTTCGTGAATGTTTAGGGTATACCACACCCCACTTCAATGCCGCCCGTCTTGACCAATCTGGAGATTGTGTGATTACGCGCTGCCTACTGAATAAGGCGGACCAGCGCGTCATCAAACACGCGCCTATACAGGCCGCCATACATCCTTACTCCGAGCGATAACATTTTCTCGATGTAGGGTTGCTGCATTGCTTGCGCCTTTTGACGAAACGACTCATCTTCCCATACCCGCAACTCCACATAATCGAGTGTGTGCCTATCTTTTTCCGCGTTTCCACCGTCCCTAGATGCTTCAAGACCCGCACCAATACCCTTGCGGCCACCACTACGGCGCTCAAAGTCTGCATCCACCAAGTCCGCCGCTCCTGCCTGCGCGATTTCATCAGACGCCAACTTGCGAAACATCTGCGTGTAAGTGTATCCCGGCTGCCGTTGTAGCAGCCGTGCTCCTTCTTCCCATAGTTTTTCAAATTTTCGTCTTGTTTGAAAGGACGACTGGGTGTCACTTTGCCCCCGCGTTGCTGGCTCTATTCGTTGCTCTAAGGGTGGATTCGGAACCTTGTAAAACATTAAATGGACGGTGGCACAGTCTGCATTCCTTGCCTCCCTTTCATGCCTCTTGTACTTCCCCCACACAGCCCCACCAAAAATGCCGACGAAGAAAAAGCCCAGGTTCCTATGATAGAGGCTGGTCGACCTGTAGGAATCGATACAAGAGCGAAGCCACTGCTGCAGCAGGTAGGGGAAGTCCCCGCGTCCCATTTTTGATATGCTCCTAGAACCTCATGAGGTGTGCGTACGCGGCGAGCCGATGAGTAAAACTGAGAAAGGGACTAATGGAACGTGTGCGGAAAGCAAGCCGACCTCGTCAGGCCCCCAATGCCCTACGGCGTTGTCGAGGCGTGTAATTTGCGAACAGCCGTTGTTTCTGAGGCTCAGGAAAGAGAACTCAGCTGCGGGTGAGTACAAAAGGCGCACTGCTAGGTAACCAATGACCGGAAGCCATCCACGCAAAGGGACGCAGTTTCACTGGACGAATGGATAGCCTCTCTGAAGTTTATATTACACAGACTCCTTTTTCTGAAACGCATGCGTTCAATGAAGCTTGCTACTCCGTTCGTTAGGTTGGTCTACTCATGATCATGAGGAATTCGCATGCAGTATGCCCGCGAGAGCAACCCGTGTCCTTGCTCTTCCCTTGCGTAGCCTTGTGGCAAATGCAAAACAAGCGTAATTTTATACAACTTCAAATGGCTTGACAAAGGATGCTCTGGCTGACTGGGGTAGGCTCGCCCGATCTCACGGCGTTGGACGCAACACGCCCGTTGTACATACCGAACAATGACTGTAGCTCCAGTGCAGCAACTCTTGCTCGTAGAACCCCTCTAATACCATATAAAAATACAGAATCTTCGCTCTTTAGCATGATTTGAGCTCAGCTGTTATGCTGTAACAAGCACCAGCACAACCAAATTACAGCGTTCCGCAATTCGCCCTCATATATGAACAGAGTTTGTGTGATTATGAATACGATGTTTAAAATATTATACAGCACAAAGTAATGAAAATGCCTTTTCCGACATTGAATATTCTTATTGCGTCCTCATCGAGGTAATTTAGAGGGTCGAAGCCGGCCTGCTGCTGGTTTCGTGTTTAACAGGACCACCGGAGCAAAACTCACAGAATATGGCTCGAACCTACCTGATTGATTCTCATAGCGAGAAACCCGTGCCATTTATGCATTAAAGTATAGCGAGGGCTAGGATCAAAATGAAAGGGAAAGGACAATGATGACCACGAGTGCATCACGCGATGACCCCTGAAGGAGATCGAAATGCGCATGTAAGCAGGCGGCGAATCAGAAGAAGCTTCACATTTGAAAGCGCATACGAACTATACCACCAAAGTGCAAAGAAAGTAGGTGGAGGGTGCTCAATGACGTCTGCTGGGAGGAACGAGCTCCGCTGAGTAAACTCTTCCCCCAACGCGCACAGCACACAGCATACTGCACGTTCAGAAGCGCAGATATTCCTTAAAAAAGTGCCCATGTAATTAATTGATCTCCTGTTGCCTCTCTTTACAAGATGTGTCAAACCTGTCATCCATACAGCCTTTCTAAACGGGACACGGCTCCTCAAGATACAGTCCTTTTAGGGAGCATACGTTTCTTGTAAGCCTTGTTTCTGTTCATTTTTCTTTTTGGCTCCTTGTGATTCGCTCTTTCACCATGACTTAGCCTCCACCGTTGTGCTCATGGCACTAGTTTGCGCACACGGGGCGGCACTGCTTCTTGCGCGTATTTTGACGAGATATCGCGTGAGTAGCTCTCATTCTCGGTATTAATCTATTTTGAGCAGTTTTAACTGCCTTTTAATGCTTTGCTTGTGGCTTCTTTCCCTTTTCTCATTTACTTCTCGGGGAGGGTCCGAGAGGACCTTAACCCTTCGTAGGACCAGAAAGCAGATTCGGGCTCTTCCTGTCATGGTAAAGTGCTGAGCAGACTTTTAATTCGGGTTATACTTTATCTGTTGTGGAGATTCATTGTGTTCCACGCCCGCAACAGGTCACGAGGACCCTTGACCTTCCCCGCCATACCCAATTGCAACATATTTACCAGGCTCTGACATGAGCGCTAAAGCCATCAGGACTTTTTTTATTACTGAAGGTATCGAAACATCTACATATGTGCTGCTGGGGTCTTTGTCGAGGTCACGGTGGGATTACCACAGCAGCTACTCCACGACGAGGACAGTCTACGGAAAATAAGAAACGCAATACGCTGGATCTGGGATTTTCCCCACTTTTGCGTAACCTGTTTGTATCTTTTGGGTGAAATTCGTGGGATACCGGAGCAATTGCAGAGTATAACATGTCGGAAGCACAGGACTGACGGTGCGCTTCTGTACCAAGCTGTTCAGTCCTGGCAACCACTGGAGGGCATACCTGTGTGTCAGCAAGTGCTATTTGTTGCTTTCAATGTTCATTCTCAATGCATCTTGGCTCTTTTTGGCTTATTATTGCCTGAACCGAATGAGTGGATCCCAGTCTGGGGCTGACGCCGGTATGGGACTGATAGGAGCTGAATGTGCTGACACTTGATATGTTACAGCACCGAGATGAGCAGCAGTCTTATAATTTACTAATGTGAGGCCATCTCAGCTGCTACGTCTTTGTTTCCGCTTGCTACCGAGGGAAAACGTGAAGTAGATATTTTGCGTTTCACCAAGGTCACTCCTAGAGGAGGGCTAGCTGTGTAGTCATGGCTGCCTGATCAGTGTCTTAACGCCCTTGATAATGCTCGACTAGCCTTTTATACGGGATAATCAGTGTATTTCGCCATTGTTGTACTGAAAAGAGAAGCTTCTAGACCTGTCGCGCCTAAATCTCCCGTGGCGAAAATGGTGGGACACGTTTTGATTCTGTAGCGAAACGCCTCGCGGCAGACAGCTTAGTAAAAGCAGCACGATTTTCTCACATACATGCTAGCCAGCTCAGTGTGCTGCACTTATTCTACTGAGCAAAGCACCCCGCCGTATCAATTCAATTGCCCGTCTCTGCACAGTAGCTTTAGACTAAAAATCCCCAGTATCCATCACCTTTGCGGGAAAAGCGTAATTAAGGAGATTCCTAATGAGCCAAATTCTCCGCTGTAGACTCACAATGTTAAAGCTTCAGAATAGTTGAGTAAGATCCACGAGTGTTCGAAGCACCACAACATCCACCGCAGGTAGACCTGTCGACCGCTGCGTGCAGCCGCGTGGGTGCGCATGGCACCGCTTGACAGCAGAAGGGACTCCGACTCCTCGATGGGGCCATTCACTAACGGCTTGCAGCGGTTGTTTTGTTGTTTACGGGGGAATTGGGCCTGCAGAGTCCGAGAGTCCGACTACGACTCCTAAGGATGACGCCTACGTTTTGACTCTTACCTCAGAAGCGCCCAACCCACGTCAGCTTCTTAATAGAGCTCTTTTATCCCGAAATACTAACGGTCTAGTCCTACTGTAATTTTCAGCACAGCATACGGCAAAAAGGCACGCTCAGACAGCAGCAGCTGCTTGCGTTAGTAGGACATAAAAATACTTCGCATCTGAAGAATGCTTCTTTTAGTCTACATTTTGCACTTATTCAGCGAGGCCATCATGGTGCAGAATTCAGCCAACTGGGGACCTGCAGCCCCGAGGCCGCTGCTTCCACACTGCTACTTATATTGGCGGGTCGCGACTTTTCATTTGGGGTGGCTGTCTCAGCTACAGACCATTTGTCTGTTCCAATGAAGCTTGGATTTTACATGTTGGTGAGCTGACTGTGAAATGATGCCTGTGTGTGGCACCAAAGTCATCAATGTAAGGGGACCTGCTACCAGTGTAATGCAAGCTGTTACCGGTGCTGGCTGCCAGAATGGCGCGCAGTAATGACGAATAAGAACTGCTACTAGTAATACTGCACACAGAACTGCTCTTCTTTGCAGAGAGTGGGAGCTTCTCAGCAGTTACTTGCTCTGCGGCTGATGGAGAAGTTACGGACACAGTAGAGGCAAGCTAACCCTTGCCATTTTGCTTGGTGCTGTGGCAATTTGCACCTGCCCATACTCGCATCAGAAGTGTTTTGTGTGACTTTGCTCGGAACTGCGTGGCCGGATGGCTAGCGTAATGACGCGATTGCATATCTCTGTTTTGCAATACTCTCTCTCAGGGAGGCAACGAAGCAACAAGCCAGATGTGAGCCACGAAGAAAAGGCACCCACTGATTTGTGACTATTTTATCTAACTCATTAGCTCACATATTCCAGCTTAATTCTGCATTCTTACTGAATAAAGGTTGCACCTTCGAAACCTGCACTTTCTAATAAGCCTGCAATGTGGGAACACTGACGAGTCGCTTTTTAGCTGCGTCGCAGTGGCGTAAAACAGGCTTGCTTTCCCTTGTTCTCTGTGCGTGTCTCAGGGGCTGGGAGACTGATCAAGCCGCGTAAGCTCTGCAAAAAATACGAAAGGCAACCAGGTATCAATCTGGTGCTGGTTTCCATGTCTTCCTTTTTTGTGTTGTGTTGGTGCGACTCCAGCGAAGCGGCTGTTGCGGCTATCGTTAACACCCTGGACAAGGTAAACACAGCACAAACATCGATTCAGCCTAAGTTGTCGACGCAGGGCTAATTTGATTTCAAAGTGTTTATCCAAGGTGGCAAGGGCTGTTTGTTCTGTTTGCTTGAGCGTGAGCATATTTGTGAGGGGCTCCTAAGAATATCGCCTTAGCTGCCAAGTAAAACGCGAACCAGTGGTGCCTTCCTGCTCCCTTTCAGGTTGAAGGGCCACGATTCCACGTGGCTTTGCAAGAGCTTCTAAGTCTCGAGCAGGTTGACAAGAAACCCTCGGGTAACCGCAAAGGAACGGGCAATGGTAGAAGCACCCCTGCATGTTCTGAAAGAACGTAGCTGCTTGATAGCATGATATCAGTAGCCTTCAGCGGGACTGAAGCATCGGAAGAAGCTTTAGGTGACCGCTGACTGTCTAGCTTCACTGTGACGTGAGGGCGAAATGCTGTTTGAAGATTGCTACCATGCAGTTCCGGGGACACCAGTTGGACGTTGCGGCCATTCCGCGTGTCTGTGGGCACCCTCCCCGCCTGAACAAGAGATGGAATTCCCCGAAAGCGAATGCATGTCAACTAAAGGGCTTCAAATAATCGTATTTGGCGGATGCGGAGGCGTCCAATATGAAAGAACTGCATTAGCAGATGTTTGGTCACTGGATTGCGGGAGCTGG